GGTAGCCCATGGCAACCCACTGCAGCAGGGGCTGCAGCCTATGCCATCACCGGTGACACACGGCAGCCCAGCTCCAGGTTAAGCTGTTGTTGTTCAGCATCTCAGCTGTAGAGGGCAGTGTCACTGGCCCTCATATGTGGGATCCGAACCGGGGCCCTCTGGTGTCCCAAGCCAGCTCTTAACAACGTGCCACTCGGCCGGCCCTAAATGTAAATGTTAAAATAAGGCCTGGAGGGCTGAAGATGAAAATATTAACATGGGTGATGGGAATATAGATCACTTTCAATTTCTCTTTTGTAATTTTCGTTATTGTTCATTAAAATACTATACTGCCTTCCCCAGAAATTTACATTTTTACATTCTTTAAATGATATATAAGTAGCTGTTTTAAATTTCAATGGGGTTGGGCATCTTTTTATATGTTTAAAAATCATCTTTTTTTATTATGGATTATCGATTTACAACCATCTCCATTTTTGTGTTAGGTTATTAATCTTTCCTTACTGATTTACAGAAATGTTATATGCTAAGCAATATGTTAAGGAAATTAGTTCTCTTAGGCTGCAAATAATTTTCCTAGTTTTTTATCTGTGATTTGATGTCACGTGTATGTATATCTGTTCACATACAAATATAAATATATAAAGGCTTTGCATATTATATATATATATTATGTGTGTGTATATATGTGTGTCTTTATATATACATATACATACTTTTGTATATGTACATACTTTTTGTCATGCTGTTTATTAACCTTATTAAAAAAACTTTGTTTTCTAGGTATTTTTGTCAGTCCATTTTAAAATATTTAAATCTTTGATCTACCTGAAATTTATTCTGATATATGAAAATGAGGTAGGAATCCAAATTAGTTTTCGCTAGATGGCAACCTATTTCTCCTAACACCATGTATTTAAAAATCTATTTTTTGCTCACCAATAGTTACCATTTTTATTATATTTTAAATTTCTATATTCTTCTGTTCTATTGGATTCTTATTTTAATAGTCTGTTAGTACATATTTATATTATGTTTTGATACTTGGTTGTACGGTTCCCTGATAGTTTTTTTCATGGGCGTTCTTGATGGTTATTGTTTCATATGAAGTTTAGAATCAATCTGTCCAGTTTAAAATCCTGTGCAGTAGCCAATCATCAAAGTGGCACCCAAGACCCTCACCTCTTGGTATTCACACACTCGTACCATCCTCTCCTACAATGTATCAGGGTTGGAGGTTTGGTTTGTGTGGCCAAGAGAAGTGATAAGAGTATGACTTCCTAAAGTAGATCATGAGCGCCACTGCTACTTCTGCCGTGGGCCACCCACTCTGGAGAAATATGAGGACACTTAAGCAGTCTCATGTGGAAGTCCACAGGCAACTCCTGCCCTCTGCCAGCCCTGACTTGCCAGCCAAGTGAGTGAGCCATCTTGGAAGCAGAGCCTCCAGCCCCAGTCAACCCTTGCAGATAACTGAGCCTTGGTCAATATGTGGACTGCAACTCCTGAGAGATCTCCAGAACCACCGCTAAAATGCTCCTCTTCTCATTCAGAAGCTGTGTGATAACAAATGTTTACTGTTGTTTTAAGCCATTAGGTTTTAAGGCAATTTGTTATGCAGCAACATGTACCTAAGACATGCTGTTCACGTTTGTACTGGAACTGTGTTAAATTAAAAGCTCTAGGGGGAATCAATCTCCTTACAATAATAGGTCTTCCTAGTCAACACCTTTTCATTTCTTTAAGTCTTCTGTGTGTTTCTCAGCAACATCTTAAAGTTTTCTTTCATAGTTTTAAGCATTTTATCTTTTTGTTTCTACTGAAAATGGAATTTCTTCTTCTAGTATACTTTGCAACAGGTGTCTGTATATGGAGAAGTACTCTATCCCATCCCCTTTCTGAATTCTCTTACATTTTAATATTGGGTTTTCAGGTGATCGTTTTGGATTTTCCAGGTGTACAATCTTAGCTTCTGTAAATAATAACACGTATACCTCCCTCTTTTACAATCTTATTTCTTTCTCTTATCTAATTTTGTCAGCTGATATCTTCAGGATAACAGTAACTACTAACAGTGATGTTTCACCTTTAAGTGAGATGATGCTTTGCCTTAAGAGAGAAAGGCATTGGCATGGTGAGAAGTAGTCATCTATTTATTCCGTTTCATCATGAGATTTAGTCAAGAAAGTGATTTGAATTTTATCCAGTACCTTTTCAACAACTACGGAGTTGGTCAAATAACTTTTGTCTTAAGATATACTAACAAAGTAAATTATATTAATAGATTTCCTAATTCAATCATTCTTAAAATGGTGAAGGTCTTTGTAGTACTTTCTATAGCATTCATGTGAATAAGCTCTTATTCATAAATTAATACAGGCTCATTATGCCAGCTAAGCAATAAAGCCATTATACTGAGAAATAAATAAGCTAGAAAAAAACTTACCTTTTCTTTGCCCGTCCTTCCCAAATTTCAACAATAAAAATAGAGCAGTAATTTTTTGGTTATGTTCTAAAGCTTATTCCATGATAACGTTTTATATAGAAGTGGATGGCTCCAAAATAGTTCTAGTCAGTCATTCCTACCTAGTTAAATTAATGAAAATTAAACCTTTGAACAGTCGAGTACAATTCTGACTCACCTGTTGTGCCTCAAAAGGCTCATACGGCTCAGTATTGACTTCTTGATGCGTTATACTCCAAGACACCTTTGGGGCAAAACAAACACTCAAATTCAGTCTATTTCAACTGCTCTGTAAAATAAATCCATTATGTGATATCATTTAAAAACATGGTTAAAATGTTTGCATTTTTTTTTTTTTTTACAATTTAGATAATGCTCTATGCTTTTTACAAATACAAGTATTAGGAAAGCACTATCATTTACAATTAGTAACAAATGAAAATGATTTTGGTTCATTACGCTTAACTATTTTTTCAAAGCTTTCTAGAAGACAGAAAACTTAATGAGGGGGAGGATAATCCAGTCAGGGTTTAATGAATCCATGCCCTATAAAGTTAACCATCGAGGAGCCTAAATTTATTCTCTTGCTTGTTTAGAAGGAGCTTACATTCACTCCCTGTTGTTTCTCTCCATCTGACTGTGTCTTACCTCCCTTACTCCTCCCCGGTTTTAGCAGGAGAAACTGGGCATGTGTAGCCCAGACTCTCTTTTTCCCTTCTCTGGGGAGCTGCCTGTGCATTTTCCCTCCTTCTCCACGCAGTAAGTCTTACGGGGCAGGCACCCCAACTTGGGAGGCCTCCTGGTCCAGCACTGCTATAACCGGGTGGGGAAGCCGGTGTGCTGGGGGATCCCGGTCAGGACATGCACGCTCTATAGAAACAGCCACATCGTCCTACTGTGCCTTTAAAAATGACTAAGTGATGCTTGGGCTCCATCTACTGATTCTCTTATATTATTTCTCAACTGGTGCAAAACTTGGGTAAGGAAGAAGGTACTATATACTAGGCACAAAAATTCTTTTTGACCACATTATCTGTCATGCCCTAGAGATCATATTTTAAAAATATTTTTAGGTGAAAGCTTTAGTAACTATTATAGAGTCCACCATTTTAAAGAATTTTGTCAACTGAATGGCAATGCCAAATGAAAAAAAAATTTAACTCCATTATTAAGCCAGCTTTTTTCTGTTGAAGTCTTACCTGTATGGCAACCACCTGTGTAGGTGGAACATCTGTTAGTTCATCAGTCCTTTCTGGGTTTACGTCCCCATTGCTGGCAGAATTCCCACAGTGGCCATCCTTTCTGCCAGGCTCATCCTGGGCTGTATTGGCATCATCTGTGCTACATGGTGACTTTACCGAGGTCTCCAAAGGGTCCTGAAGGATCTGTGTTTCAGGGGCAACCTGGTCACCAGGGCCACGCTCAGCATTCAAATGACGTCCCTCAAAACACACAGAAGCCCTTTTAGCTGGTCTGTCAATGGCTACAAAAGATGGCGCCACAGGTATTGACCTCTGCAGATGATACTCCGAGGGGATGCAGACCAGAGGCGTGTAGACGCTAGTGTACTGGGGCAGAGTGGTTATCACGTTTATGTATGTTGGCGGTGTCTGGGTAATGAAGGGAAGGTAGGTACAGTATCCTGTGACCACATGTGCGTGAGTCCAGTAGGTTGGTTTCATATCCCCAGGAACTGGTTTGGGGGAGTTAGAGCGGGCTTGAAGGTGACTTGCATCCTCACAGGCTGGTTTAGGGGAAGCAAAAGCAACCTCTCTGTGCGTCTCATCTTCAGAAACTGACCTGGGAGAATTTTCCAGTACTGGTTTCGGCTCCTTGGCTTCACAGGCTGGTTTGGGAGAAGCAGCAGAGACAGGTTTGGACTCATCCTCAACAGTTGGTGCTGAAGACACATCTGACACTGGCTTGGACTTTACATCTGGTTTAAATTCTCTAGCGGTTGGATTCAGTGGGAGTTTAGCTCGGAAATACTCTCCTGTTCTCGACATTTCCTCTACTTTTGTCTTAATGTTTTTCTTCTTTCTCTTTTTCTTGAGCCGTAATGCAACTTTCTTCAATGCAATACAATTGTCGATCACCACAAAACGAGGACATCCCAGGAGGAAAGACTTCAAACCTCCGGCTTTTTCTAGTATCTGTCGAGTTTCTTCTGGGAAGAACTCATATTTTTCAGAGAACATCTTGTTACTCATATCCAAGGGACCTTGTTCCTCCAACAACTGAGAGAAATAACTTGGAAAAAATTTGCATTTACATAAGTTATTATAAGAAATTACTTGTGCGTGTTTCATTTGAAAAAATACATTTCCTAAAAAATTCTCCCAAAGCAAATACTATTTCGCTTTCAGCTGATATCTCAACACCTCCCCAACAAACATATTATACTGACATTAAAGCTGAGAAAGGCTATCTAAAATGTTGTTTCCCTCTCAGAAAATAATCCTTTAAAAAATTTTAGGAAAAAACAAAAAGGCATAATAAGGGGATTAATCATTGTTAAGCTAATCATCACATGTTTACTTTCGAAAATTCAAAGAAAGGTATAACTTCCTATAACTTCTTGACTTTCTCCTATTTTAAGATATAAATTCTACCTCAAAATACAAACAAATCAGCCTATTTTTTCTCATAAAGTTATTTAATTTCTTCCAACTAATAATGGCAATACATTCTGTAAAAAGCAAGCTTTTGACAACTGCAGAGTTTAGTTTTAGTTTTGGGTGCTTAAAGCAAAGTCTAGCATATTTTAAAAAATATTAGTGTATTTTTATAGCTGTTTCCATGTTGTCATTTCTGGAAATGCGATTTTCTCAGGACTTCAACCCTAAAGAAAAAATAAGGAAGAACCTAAAAGCATATAACCAGACTGAAAAGGAATAATGTAACTGAGGGAAATAGAAGAAATTACCAAATTATGGATGAGTGACAGGTTTTCCAGAATAGTTAGCTTTCAAATTAATTTTCTGCTGCAGACCTTAGCCCTTATTTCTTTTCTTAAGGAAGGCATCACACACCTCTTATTAATGCCAAGCTCAGAATGGCAACTGCTTCCTAGTTTTTCCTGTAGTCTTTATTCCATTATTTTATGCACCCAGCTCAGACTTGTCTTAAGTGTTAATTTTATATTCACATTTTTAATCCGAAAGTAACTCACACCAAAGTTACTTAAAAAAGTCTGTTTCTCTTTTATAAGATCTATGTCAGGAAGTGAAGTCTCCAACACAAAACAGAGACACAGGGTTCTATGTCTGTATTATCATCCCGGCAAACAACTATTATCTCGGCAGAAGTATTAATATACTGAGATCCTGGTATCCTTCCCCCAGTAAAAGGGTAAGACTTCCCCGAGCTACTAGACGCATGAGACGCCAAACAGCTGCGTCCATCAAGATAAGGACAATGATATCAAATAATCATACTATTACTTGTCAAATGTGTACCTTGGTATTCATGATAAAAAGATTATGGCTGGAAACTTTCTGGGTCCGATCGGGACATAGCAGGACAGTTTTGGAGTAGAAAGTATCTACATTAGCAGCTCAAACTGACAAAACTAATAATCATTAGGATTCAAAATTAATAATTAAAAACCCTCAATTATATTTGCATAATATTGGACAAACGCTGTAAAAAGACTTTTCTTCCCCAGAGTTGGGGAGCCAATAAACCATTTCTTTAATAAATATAAGGGACACAAATTAAACACCTTAAGATCTTCAACTGTCAGCTTTGGTATAGAAGAGTAGTACGAAGGTTAAGCTACTTACTCATACAGACTGGAGCATTTCTGCTTGGGGTTAATGTCCCACAGCTTCTTATTCCGGACCACATATTCATGGCTGTGCTGTTCGTAGAGCGCCTCAAATTCTTCCACATCTTGCCGAAGATGGTCGGGCACCACGAATGGGCCTGTGGGATTTGATGGATTGCGTCTGTGGGTAAAAAAACAAATTTGTGAATACTAAGTTTTTAGGTAACCCAGAATATTTAAGTTACAATAAATGTAAAGACAGTAACATATTACTCAGCATTACAATGCAAAAAAAAGAAAAAACAAAAAACAAAAAACACTATCAGAGAATTTAATGCAGAAAAGTTACCCTTCCACAATTACAGTCAAGAGATACATGTACCTGACTATTGAGTAAGCACTATTTTCTGAGTAAGCACTTTTAATTAACTACTTACTCTTGCCACCAAGTGCAAAAATTTTAAAAACTCTTAATAAGTAAAATAAAATAAAATGCTGCATTAACGCTAGCTTGTTAAAACGAAAAATAAAACATTTTATTACAACTGCTATTAATTTATAGTGGTTGGAAAAATTGTATTATCACCTCTAATTCCACTATCTAGAGATAATCACTAGTAACATTTGGTATTCATATCCTTCTATTTTTTTCTGTGCATGATTTTGTCCATATGTTACTTTTCTTTCTATAAAAGTGGTATTAAACTGCATATACTGTTTTGTTATCTTCATATTTCATGTAGAAGTATATTGTTAACATTTTCCCATGTCAATAAATATTCTATGGCTTAAAAAAAATTTTTTTTTTTAATTGGGTAATTGGGGGATGGGAACAGCGCTGGGGAATTGGGGGAAGGGGAACAGACAAGTTGCTGTCGTTTTGTTCTTCAGTCTAGTTGTGGAGGATGTTGCTTCACTGGCCCAAGCTGGCACCATCATTGCGCTCTTCCCGGGCGAGGCAGATCAGTTGCCGGCTTCTGGATGGCCGCTCACGCTGGCTGCTGGCTACACATGGTAGCCCATAGCAACCTACTGCAGCAGGAGCTACAGCCTACGCTGTCGCCAGCGACTCACAGCAGCCCAGCTCCAGGTTGAGCTGTTGTTCAGCATCTTAGCTGTAGAGGGCAGTGTCACTGGCCCTCATCTGTGGGATCTGAACCAGGGCCCTCTGGCGTCCCAAGCCAGTTCTTAACCAATGCGCCACTCGGCCGGCTCGAAAATTTTTTAAATTAAAGTGAGATTGAAACTGGTAAAAAGTACTTAATAAAAAGATGTAAAAAATAAAGGTGTAAGACTCTAGTACTCTAAAAAGATGTCACAGTTTGAGTGTGGGCTTTAACCCAGGTTGCTGGATAGAAATTCTGGCTCCGTGACGTACAAGATTTGTGTTCTTGGGCACATCACTCAGCCACAATGTGCCTGAGTTTCCTTATCTGTGAAATGAACATAATAGTAATAATACTTATCTCTTAGGGCGAAAGAGTGGATTAAATGAGTTTATATATGTCAAGCTCTTACAATAGTACTTGGTATGTGTTATCTGAGTACAGGTTATTATTATTTTAACTTAAAATAATTCCTCCATTTAAAGAATCCATGAAAATGACTGTGTGAAACACTGTTACTACAAGTCCTTTGAGACAAGGGAAAAAAGAACCAAACCTTTATGGGGGTTTTTAGCCCAAAAAGAAATAGGATATAAAAAAGTCACTGCAACTCACTAGTTTTATTTCTTCTTATGCCTATTTGCTTCTTGAAAACTCAGCTTCAACAACCAGATGTTATCAAAACTCACTAACATCTATGGTGAAACCATAACCTCATAGAAAGCTTCCAAAACATCTTCCGATCTCCTATTAGAGCAAATATGCTAGTAATTAGCACTAGGACATTTTCGTCATTGAACATTTTAAAGAATATTTTCTATCTTGCACATAGTAGGTTCTCAAATTTACCAAAGGAATGGCATCAGCCCCGTGATGTTTTTTTTTTTTTTTTAGCCCCGTGATTTTAGTGCAGTTTGTAAGAGTTCTTAATGTTGATAATCTATGCTGTAAATTCAAGATGGGTCACATCAGGTTGTCATAATAGATGTATATCTTTAGAGAAGTCAGGGAGATAAAACACAAGTTTAAAGTAATACCACTTACTAAGTTAAAACACTAGAGTTAAAAGAAAGCAAACATTTTAAAATTGTACTTACTTATGGTCTTCTGCGAGAGTTTCACTATTAGTTGCTACTGAAGGTGTTCCAGACCCAACTAACATAGGCTGGTTTAAAAGATGAAGAATGACAATGATTTTTCTATTTTAAAATGACCATTAAAACTGATCAATGCGTATATAAATGTGCATGCAAATTGCCAATGAGAGTTATCTAAATTTTCTTGTGAATAGGAGCACATAACAAAAGTTACAACAGCCATAAATAGGCCCAAATTAACATTTAGGTAGCTTCCAACAACCCCCAAAATTTTAAATGTCACTTAGTTTAAACTTCCATTTTAGATATACTGAAGACATATAGTCAAAATAAAGAAAGGTTTATTGGATTATAAGTTGCTCTCATCCTCCCCTAATATGTGTTTGCTTTCTCCACCCCTGCCCCTTATATGACCTCCCCCAAATAATTGAGAGCCATGAAGAACCCGCCATGAGATTTAAAAATAATGCCCTAGTTACTTCATGGGCTTGGTGCGGAGCCTTGGGTGACAGGAAGGGAGCTATCAATTCTGAGATTCTGTTACAATGATTAGTATTTACCACCTTTATTTTGAATATTTTTAGGTAATAACTCTATTAGTTATTGATAACAGGTATCATGTCTTAAACAGATGATGGCCCCGGGGCACAGGGGAGTCGAATAACTTGCCCAAGGTCACATAGATAATAAAATAATAATACAAATAATAATTGGTAGAGAGCCAAGATATACGCTCAGGTCTATCTGACCCCAAAGTTGCCTTGGTCCCCTGCTCCATGACCATCCATACAGAGGTCTACATTATGACAATGTTTTCACTCAGAAATATTTAGAAAATAAAAAGGACAATAAAAAAAGTCTCTTTTAAGAGTTACTTATATACAATATGAACCTTAAATTTCCTCAAAATGTACAAGATTGACAAAATATCTTTAGGTTAAAACGCAGAAAGTCTTCTCTACAAAATGCTTCAAAATATCCCAAGAATTGGTTCATTCTAATTTACATATTCAATTATTTTAGATAAGAATTAATATAGGAAATACTCCATACCTTTGAATCTTTTGGCTTCTTTTTCTTGCCTTTGTGTTTTATCTTCGTAGAATTAAACTAAAAAATGGGGAGAAAGAAATCATTAAATACTCAACATACTATGAAGCTACCATAAAGATACCATGCCAATTTTCATAGACCAGTCATAATTTGAATTACATAAAATGTTTCATAAAAATAATACTACAGTGTGTCAGCCCTGGTGTTATGATTTATAACAGAAATTAAGAAAAAGTTTAATGATGCCTAGTGTTATAACTAAAATTACATTGTTCCAACACTTTTATACTCATTTTCAACAAGGTTTATGTCATTTCAAGAAATCAGTCAGACTTTTAAAGTAATTCCAGTTACACACGAATAGTGTGTTAATGATTTTCCTTTTACTGAGGCACACTAAGCTTTCTACGCCTGGCCAGACACTGGGCACAAATAGTGAGTTTAGAAGCATTTAACTTCTCATGAGGTCACATTAGCTGTGTCTCCAGAGTTAGCCAGGCAATGCCTGACAGAGTGGATGAAGACAGAACTTCAAGGACAGGTGACTTAATCCTAAAAAAGCAGTCAACAGCTTCTTTCTGTTTGAAAATTGCCACAACGTACTAAGGAAGGAATTATTTTAACTTACACTCAATTTGGAACCACTCAAAATGAAGTCCCTTTGTTTTCCTTACAAAGCAAAATATTAAAATTTTCATCATTACAGATAACTTCAAGTCTATGCTGGGAAATGACTCAAGAACTCCTTTCCGATTTCTAAGACTAACACTTATTTTGTAAAGCTTTATGGCCGTTGTCTACTGTAAGCCCGAGTTTGCTGACAGATGCTCCAATTCCAAGAGGAATATTGGGCTTAACTTTCCAATGAAACAGAACACGTTACCGGAAGTCCCCCAGATTGGTTCTGGAGTGCCAGCTATGACGGAACTGAACACTGGCCAGGTCTTGCTCTCTTCCTCCGGCTAACACAAATGAGAACATAACATTTAAAGATATCAAATTACTTACGGGCACGTCTCCACTGTCTTGTTTCCTCAGTACAGTGCAGCGGCTGTCTGTAGGAAGACGCAGGTGGTTTTGTGAGGAAATGAAATATTTACATTGCCATGCAATTCACTAAAGCCTTAAAGAAAACCACCCCAGTATCATGAACCTCGACATGTTCTATGCCTTACTTGGCTTTGACACAAGTCTAGCTTAGAAATCTAGGGCCAAATGGTTAACAGAATGGGAGACCAACTACCAACCACCACCACATTTCAGTCCATTTCAGCATAATTTGAGTGTCTTCTGGAAGCCAACCTCTGTGCTAGGTGCTGGGAGGACAGAGATGTGTACAACAGTCCCTGCTGGCCACATGCCCATGTTCAAAAAAATGACCAACAGGACAACAGCTGTGACCCATTGAGCTCAGTGCCACAGTACATGCCGCAGAAACAAAGCGGAGGGAATAATAAAGTCTTCAAGGGGAGAGGCTCACGGAGGACCAGGAAGGGCTCTGGGGAGGCGGCGGCTTGGAATGAACAAGCAAAGGAGCTGGAGGAACGGCACAGGCAGAGGCAGGCGGCAGACAGCACAAGGCAAGGAGCGGGGTGTTTACTGAGGGCAGATGGGGAGGGTGACAATGAAACCGATATCTGAGGTGAATTTAATCTGTAGGCAAACTAAGCAAGAGCTTCCTAAACACAACAGTTATAGGATCAGACAGATGTCTCCAAGTGTCACTAGCAGCAGGCAACAGGAGAGGAATGCTTGGAGGGGGAGGCTTAGAGGCAGGGGGACTAGTTTGGAGCCGATCGTCATAGTCTAATCACGGAAGGTGACTCAGGTCCTGACCTGGGAAGTGGGACGGGCAGGAAAGAACAGACCAGTGACAAAGCTTATTTGGACTGCTGACAAACTGGACAGAAACAGTCACAGCTGGATGGCCTGTGCATTTCAGGTAAAGAACACAGAACAAGGAAAAATGCACCCGGAGAGGGAACTGTGTGCTTTCTAGTCATCTTGTTGGGATCCAAACATGGCTTTGTCAGCTCAGTCTCAGGACAGCATTTTAGCAGCAGCAGCAAACTGGTGCCAATAAATTCAGGCTAGCAAGGAGGCTGTCACCTCTGGTCATGAAGTGGTGTTCTGGAAAACTGTCACCTACATTTGAGTGCAGGCGTTTCAGTTCCTGATACTTCATGACATGTGACACGTTTGTAAAGGGCCAGGCTTTTTAACTACAGCAGGAGACTTAAGTTTTAACTCCAAACAATATACAAGACTTCTGATGCTGAGGAAGGTGTGTGTGTGTGTGTGTTTGTTTGTGTGTGTTGGGGGGTGGAGGGGCAGCATTATAAAACATACATATAGTACCAAAGATAAAAATTTGAACTTAAAACCTAAAATATTAGAATTCTGAACCAAAATGGGACCACACAGATTACTGGCTCCAAATGCTCTCATTTTAATGATGAAGAAACTCAGAGCCAAGAGAAACTAAGGAATGAACTACTAGCTATCCTATTCTGTCAAACTGGACTCCAGGCCCTTGCCAGATTCTGCTCCATCCTCTCTGAGCCGGCATGTCACCCTGTCCAACTCCACCTCCATGTTCGGAGCCCAGCTTGGGCCCCACCCCTGCAGCAGGCTTTCCTCTCCCCCAAGGAGAACACAAGTGCTCAATCCTCCGTCTGAGCTTTTCTGGTCCTCTTCCTGAGCTTACTCCCACATCACACTTATATTCACCTTATTCCCTTTTGGAAAGCATTAGGTCCTTGAGGGCAGGGACTAGCGTAAGCATCTCTGAATCCCTTGGTAACACCTCGCACTGCCTTGAAGCAGTGGTGAAACAAGGCTTTTAATGACATGGGTTAGGGAGGACGCTGGGCCACAGCCTCCTTTCCCAGGCGCCCAGTTCTAGGCTCTTCCCATCCCAACAGAGCCATTGGTCTTGGACTCTGCAAACACCACCTACTTCTGCAGCCCAGTGCTTTCTTCACTGCTACAAATCAAACCATTTCTTTAAAAATTCCGTCAATTTAATACGCAATCTTTGCCATGATGCTGACAAGATATCTAAGACGAGAACAGTAATGGTCTAGTCAGTGTAACGTACCCATCGTATCTCTCCAACACGTAGCTCAATAGAGTAAAAAGGCTTTAGGACATGGAAAAAAAATCCCTATTTTTAATCACTAACCTCCCCAAATATGCTGGCTGTGCCATAATAATTCTCACTATTTTCTTTGTTAAATATTTAAATAAATGAGGTCCCTCACTGATTTTTTTCCCCCAAGACTAGATATAAAACTGAAACTTGGCCCACATACCCATTATATCAAAGAATTCGTCTAAAGCATTGTGCAAAGCTGGGAACTTGTCTCTGTGCTCTTCCAGCAGCCATATCAAACACCGTGCCTCCTTCAAGGATGTTGGTTCATAGAAGTACTCAAGCTGCTTTCCTTCTATAGAGTTCAGTTTATGTCCATATTTCTCATTCCAGAGAAAAGTCATGATGCTAAAATCAAGCTCTTTAAGAGGTGCTCCATAGCGAGAAAAGAAAGACCCCGTGGCATCTAAGCCTGTAATAAAAACCAAGTCCAAAATCAGAAAAAGGGAAAATCACCTATTGTAACAAGTTTCACATCTTTGAAAGCTTACATTTTCAGTGAAAACACGTAAATACTTGAGAACTTGTTCAAGCTATGCTGCATTTTGGAAACACCACTTAACGTTGATATGCTAATTACAATAAGTCTTACCTATTAGTTGAATAAGGTGGGCCAAAGGCCTCTATTATTAGTTATTTTTATCAGACTTAGGAGAAGAAAAGCATTAAATTCCTTTAAAAATATAGCAATAACCTTTTCACTAACTCATAATGATTTTCATTCCAATTAGTACAAACTAGCAAGATTTTATAACGCTTTTCTGCATATACTCCATAGTAACAAAACAGCAATGATGTGCAAAAGCTCCACAAATGCCTTTCAGATAGGCCACTGGTAAACTCCTTCCCCAACACTTGTAGGAACTGCTCCACACCCCCCAAAATATCAGGCTTTTTACCCTCCCTACAAAAGTTAAGGCGGTCACCGTTCACGCCTTTATTCCCCCTTGTCCAAATCAGGAAAAGGGGTGGCTGCAACCTCCACACTGGTACTGAAAGGATGAGGAAGCCCTGCTACTTACTAACACAGCCACCAAAAAGCAAAGAATAGCTGTCTGTCTGTCGCCCCCGGGCCTCTTCTACAGCACCGGCACCTCGAACACGGGCCATAGTCCCAGTCAGCGAACGAAGCAGATTGCTGGGTGAGGATCAGCCTGGACCGCTGCTTCCTCCAGAGGGAACAGTTAGCATGCAGGGGTCATGTTGCATGAAACATCAGTATCTTTACACACCAGAATCAGGGAACACACAAAATACTCCTACAAGGTTTAAGGGAATTGCATGTGGAGAATTACCTCCTTCACACCTCCATCTAAAGCCCGCGTCAGAGCTCAGCGTGGGGAAGGCAGCAGGTCACATCTAGTTCTAAAATGTTACTATTAATAAATTTCCCATTAAGGAGTCTGACTACCATCCCGCACGCAATCCCCGAGGGCACAGACTGCTCTCCAGGCGATGTGCACCCACGGTTGTGCCTAGTATTCACAGTTTGCACTCTTACAAACAGCTCACTGTAATACAGGATTGGATCCTCCAACTGACTGAACTTTGTGTTTACACCTTTACAAAAAGTATACTGTAACCTATCTATAATATAACCTAAAAATTGAGAGTTGGGGGGGAAATGGTATTCTCAACCACACAAATTTGTAGACCTCCATTTAAAACGATCATAAACGATGACAGGAAAGTGAAAAGGATTCGAGGCCCTTCCCACCCGCCCTTCCCACTGAGCTGTCTCTAGGATTGACATGACGCACCAAAGCTGTTCAGTGCCTGGATCCAGCTGGCTAATTTTGGCTCCACTTCTTTAAGCTCACTCAGAACATGCAGAAACATCCTGGTTTTCACTCTATTCTTTTCTTGAACCAAGTACCGAATGACATAGTCCACTGCTTCATTTAGGAAATTTCTGCTGGAAAAACAGGTGGTGTAGTCTTCTGTGCTTAAAACCTTCCAGGAAAGCAATTCTTTGAGAAGCTTGGACGTATTCAGCACGCCAGACTTGATCTTGTCGGCATACTGCTTTATGCACTGCAGAATTCTGTCGTTCAGGTACTGGCAGCTCTGAACGCTGGCTGCAGTTTCTAAGGAGAAATAACAGTGAGTTAAAGTGAGAGAATTTGCAAAGACATAAACTCAGAAAGAAATAACGTAACATTACTTAAGAATAGAAAACATGACTCCGATAGATTCTTTACGTTGTTTTAAATACACGACTCAAGAAATTTTATATTAGGAATATAAATACTTAATAGGGCCTCTGAACAGATATGAAAGTTCACGTTAAAACTTATCAAAAGTGGGCCGGCTGAGTGGCTCAGTTGGTTAAGAGCTCGCTCAAGAGTTTGAGCTCTGAGCAACAGTGGTTCGAGTCAGCCCGAGCTGAGCAGCCGCGGAGCTGCCAACAGGTGGCGGGATGGCTCAGCTAAAAAAACAAAACAAAACAAACAAACAAAAAAACAACTTATCAAAAGAAGTGCCGTATCCCCTTCACTCTGTACCACTCGTGTAACATATAAAAATTTAGTTCCTCTAAAAACAACCCTAACCCAGGCTCATCAACTACCTAAACTTTACATTCAATAACCATGTTTAGTCATTAGGAATACAAAGGGGTTTTTTTATTTTGTTTTTGGCGTTTAAGCGATCATTTATTCAGTTATGAATCGAACTACTATTTGGCAGTTGTTGTATTATTCGTCTTATTGTTGGAGCCTCAGTCGCAGACCTATGGACTCACTGCCTTCAAGCTGGAAAATATCTCAGACGCCTGTCTTCCCACCCGGACACCTCCCCAATGGACGGCCACGAGCCTCCTGAGGCATGGAAAGGTAAAACACAAACATTCACTGAAAACTTTTTCAGTAAGAAAGGTCATTTTGATCTATGAAACATTCATGGAATACTAGATGGAAAATCAAGGCAGCAAGAGGAAATATTTCATTTTGGAGATAGTCATTGTAGTGGAAAATGAGAATAACGCACTTCAACTCAAATCGGAAAGTAAACATACTGACCAACATGGCCCCGGGGACAGTAAAATTACCAGCAAGACATTCCCACGTTGATCAGGGAATGACGACGACGAGATTTACATAAAACAGAAGGCTGGATTAGGCAATCTCTTTGAATGGCTTCTTTCTTTGAACTCAGTGTTATTTCAGGTAATTAGTAGCTAATTTACAGTTCACTGTTTTAGAACTTAAATCCTCACAGTGGAGTTGACAGAGCACTGCCAAATGTACAATACTCAGGTTGGGTATTATTTCCACCTCCCATTCTGAGATGAGGAAACTTACAGAGTCTGCCCCAGGTGAGTAGCAGGGACATCTTCCGAACCCCTAGGTACCGCTTCGAAAACCAGTGTTCTTTATACCACCCCCTCGCCATCCCCGAGTAATAGGAGCCAGTGATCGTATCACAGCATTAACTGAAATCTAAATTTCAATTCGGTAACAAATAACATAAGGCTCAATAAGATGGGTATTTATATTTACAGTTTTTAAGCGAGAGCACATTATTCGTATCATGTTTGCACCTCAGCGTACCTTTCTGATCTTCAGTTTTGGGTGGATTACTTTCCCTTAAGTCTTCTTCCATTCTTTCTTGTGCTAATCTTTTTGCTTCTTGTTTTTGGATCTTTCTCTTCAATTTTTTGTCTTCTTTCAGTCTTAGCTTCTCTAGGCTGATAAACATTTACAATTAGTGACACGCCACCTTTGTTATAAACTCAACTACTTTTCCTTTGCCTGCTGCAGAAACCATTCTTAAAGCAATAAGTTAGAAGTTTTCTTTTTCAGTTAGAACATAGCCTGTATCTTCTGTTCAATATCAAAAACTGCTGACACATGTGGTCAATTTAATCTAACTAAGGGTACTTATTTCATGAAAACAAGAACCTCAATGATTGAGTGACTTTTAATTAAGGATGGCATGCACAGATGTTATTTTCATGTTTATAGGTTACTGCTTATGGTAAATGGGAATAATAAAAATTACTCTGCAAGATAATACATGTAAACACTCATTTCAAAGAAAGATCCCACAGTTAAATAATATTGTCACATCCCAATAATGGCCCACAACACCAGAATTTGGTTGATATGGTTACAATGAATTCTCTTCAACAAATAATTCTGTCCATCTTTTTTTTTTTTTTGCTTTTTCTTGGTCACCAATAATGAAAAAAATCACTTCTTAGAATAGAAAAAAGAGGCAGGACCAAAAAGTAAAGGAAAAAGGACTGAAACTATTTGATGTGAACAAGAAGATACAAAGAAGCAAATAATTTTGATAGTACATTTGTATATTTCAGAGTGAGAAATAAATCACTGGTTCAAAATGTTTTCTGAAGAGAGATAAAAAGAAAATATGCTCTGGAATTAAAATTTAAACAACTGAGAGCTAAATATTCAATTTTTATTTAACCGCCAAATCTATTAATCAAATGTCATTTCACAGGATCAAATGTTATTATTTTACTTATAAATTTAACCACTAAATAATGCCTCTGATTTAAGTTTTCAGTATTTAACCATTCCAGGCTAGCTCTGTTTTAAATTTCAAATGTCCATAAAAGTCATTTAAAAACCACTTATATGGATATGTGTGCACAGCCAATTTAAAAAACAGCATAATTTAGAAATCTGTGTGTAACAGAACTATATTCTAAGAGATATAGTTAAGCTACTGATTGATTGTTAAAAAATCTTACCTAGAACATTTCTGCTTCAGAATAGGTCTTGGAGGAACCTTTTCTTTTATGACCTTGTGTTCAAACTTTAAATAAAACAAAGACATCCAAAATTTGTCACACACTCCCATGACAACAGAGCACAAAACAACAAGTAACAGGCATTTCAGAAGCACACACCATGTTTGATTTAATAGACAACAGTGATGATGTTCTGACCTAGACAAAAGCCCAGAAAACTTTAGCAAAACAATTTACTGAAAAGAGGAACAAGAGAGTAGACACACTTTAGCAAGAAAGTTTTTACAAAATTAAGAGTAAGCAGAAACTAAATAAACTACAAATATCATTACGACCCACTCCTGCCACTCCCATATAATGAAGTTAAAAGTAATTCCGTGAGACACTCTTCTCCCCAAAAGGACAGGGCCCCAATACCCAAGCTTACTGGGGACTAAGAGAACAAGGGTATCAAAAAGGGTAATAATAAAATTAAAATGTAAAAAGCGTCCTCTTCCTGTTAGGAAATAAAGGACTGTGAGGATCCTTCATTGCAGGGGTTGGCAAACTGTGGCTCGCGAGCCACATGTGGCTCTTTGGGTACGTTCTATCTCAAAAGTTTGCCGACCCCTGGAAGAGCCAATCCTGTCCCTCACAACAATCTAAAAATTATTTGAGAGCCATAAATATATTTTTACATAATCACCATTATGTGAATAATATCCTTCAAAAATTTTATAAATGAAGCTATGAGTTTTATTTTCATTTTCAATTGGACTTCAGAGCCACATGTGCGTACCCAAAGAGCCGCATGTGGCTCCCGAGCCGCAGTTTGCCGACCCCTGGCGGCTCTTCCATCTCAGAAGTTTGCCGACCCCTGACGGCTCTTCCATCTCAGAAGTTTGCCGACCCCTGCTTCATTGCAAAGACGTATTCTCACATCCTACTATTTCCTTAGATTAAGTAACTGTTTGTTTCCTGGGAAAGTTAAGATCCAAACCCTACAACTTCCATAAATTTAAATCATGTTTTAAAAGGTATAAGCCTTTTGGTTATCAATTTAATGAGATTTCCCCTTAATTAGATACTTACTTCACATTTAACTTGACCACCACTGCTGAAGATGATAATCTTAGAAATGATACCTTCACAGTCAGGTGTAAGACAAATTCCTTGTAGAAAATCCTATTTGATTAAAAAAAAAAGTGCTATATTTCAGGCTAAACCTATACATGTATACCATTTTAACCATTAGGAACAGTTAAAATATGGTCCAAACTCCTTCAGAGAGGCTCTGAAAGCGCCTGGTCATTGTCACGTGACTTTTGAAGCCTCCCTACCTGTAGGAGGAATACACGACTGGCCAGCTATAAGTCTGACCACATGACTTGTTTTGGTCAATGCAAAGAGGGCCGACATGATGTACTGTACACTGTGTCCAAGCAAAAGCTTTCAGAAACACTGAATAGACTGGTCACTGAGCTGTACCCTCTGCTACAAGCACTGTCCCGGCAACCTCTATTTGGACAGAAAGAACACAGCCACACAGACTAAAGCAGATACAACCCAACAATGGCCAACAGCTGCAGAACTTCAGGACAAGTCATGGAAGCAAGGTGAACCTTTCTCACTGCAAGGCATGAGATGTCTGGGTTGTATACATCACTTCAGCGGATGTGAAGCTGACTAATTGACAGAGGGCGTTTCAATCCACAGGAATGGTTCCCACCACTAAGGGAGAGTGTACGGCTAGAGAAACTCACTTAGGTAAGACAGATATAGCAAAGGGGACCCAGTGGCAACAGTTACTTGGTCGTATCATGATATCACTAGTTAACTGTGAAAATGTACAAAATATGATTATTTATTTCTACAAAACTGGAATAATTCCTATTGCTAACAGACACCTAGCATAACCACTTTGTCTCCCAATAAAGATAGAGGAGTTTACATGACACTATACAGAGTAGGAAACGGTTTTACTTTTTTTTTTAAGTCCATAGCTCATATAAATCAGAAACAAATTCTATGAATACAAATAAGATTTTAAAACTGTGCCTTCTCTCAAAGTATACGTAGCGTATGATAATTAACATCATCATCTTGCTAATTAAGAGAAGCCCCAATGAGAAGCGGCAGTATAAAATTTTTAAGTTGATTCCTTAGTACAAATTACCTCATCAAATTTTGGTAGAAAAAAGAAAAATTGAGACTCCAATTCTACATCATAACTTTAAAGTAATTAAATGACAGATCCCTGAAGGACTAAAATCGTCAGCACATAATTTAAGACCTATATTTTAAAATGAGATATTATAATTTTTATTTTTGATAAGATTCCCAACGCAAAAGTTGGTTGAACAATTTATTGAAGGTCTTTATGGTTACTGCCTTTATCCTTGTAGTAAATAAAAATGGAAACTGATTTTCTACTTTATCATTAAAGTTTTCATTTAAAACTTTGATTATATCTAGAATCTACAGGAAGGAATTTATATTCATTTAAGACAGTCTCTTAAGATTCTTAGGGGGGAGGGGCAGGAATCAATGTACAACAAGCATACTAAAAAATCAAGAAAATCTTATTAGCCTTACCTTGTCAATTTTATCATTAAAGGTCGTTGTCTTTAACTTCTTCCAACAGTTCATGTGAAATTCTATTTTGCAGTACTGGCAACAGCTGATTCGTATAAAACCCTGGGGGTTAAAACATTTTTTAATTCACATTTTAAAGGTAACGTCTCCCCCCAACCCCCATTCTCTAAGTCATTCACAACGCATATTAAGATAAAGAGAGAGCTGTTCACATTCACCTGGCAGAATAACTAGGTATCACATTTCCCTGTGGGCGGTACAATCCTTCTGTACCCAGAATGCCTAGTGCAGATACAGAGCTTGACTGACACACTCATTTCCATGGCTGAGAGATGCACTATCCTTCACAATGTATCAAGTGCTTTATAAACACTATTTCATCTGATCTACTAACCGGGTCAGTGCCACAGTAGGCAGCTATTATCTTCTTGAATAAACTAAGGCCCAGTAACTTATTCACTCAATTAAGTGCCAGACTGGGTCTCATACTTAGGCCTCTGAGAGCTAACTCAGTGATCACAGAGGTCTTTAGATTCCTGGGCTCAAATTTTACAAGAGATGAGAAGTGCAACGAATCAAAGGCAACACCTCATTTTGTTTCCTGTGCTCCTAAGAAACAGGCAGTTATGTGACAGTGGCTAAAAAGGGGGAGTGCCTTCTCACGTCACTCACCACCCTACCCTCGGTGTTTATTTCAGTGGCTCTGGGTTCAAGGGGTAGACAACAGGACATAAAACTGCTGGAAGCCAGAGAACTTGGGTGCCTCCAATTACAGAATTTGTTCAGAATTCATTTTAAGGCACAACTGTGTAAGTTAATGTCCCAGTGTATACCGTGGGTGCCAAAAAATGTATACAAGTGTACACTTTGGTCAACGTTGCTCAAGCAGTAGTTCGCCATCATCAGAAGTGTCTGAACGCTGATGGGAACCACTTTGAGCACCTCTTGTAATTGCAGCAGTCAAATGTGACTTGTATTCATCTTTTGTTATTGGTATATATTATTACAATTTTAATAGTTTTTTCCTTTCTTAAAATGTGCATACGCTTTTTTGGCACCCTCTCTATTCATTATTTACCTTAAAGTCTGGATCCGTTATGTATATCTGGATTTTGGAATATCCAAGGCACTTCTGATAGCAACAAATAGCATCTGGCACTGGAGGGAACCTGCATTCTTCAATAAATTTCTCTAACAGCATCTAAAACAAAAACAAAAATGATATTTCTACAACACTAATTCATCCATAAAAATGCTTGTGATTTCAATAACCTTTGCCATCAAAACATTTCAGCATAGGAATGACTAAACGGTTTTTAGCCAAGAACAAACTACATACCACTTTTAAACTTTTTCCTTCTAGAAGGAGGCTGATACAGAGACGTGTCAAGAGAGCATGATGGGGGAAACAAAGGATGGAAGAAAAGATTTTCTGAATTTCAAGGTCAGAATCAAAATCTTACCCTGTGTTATAATCATCAAACCTCAGTTTACAATATGTAGCTCTTAGATAGCTCCTTTAAGCGGAAGGGGTCGAACAGGTGGGAAACCCTTAGGACTCTCCTGTTCTCCTTCCCTCCCAAGGTCACTTCCCCAGGACCCCACCACTCATTCATTTACCCCCACCCACCATGCCCCGCCCCCGCACACGCTCATTCCGAGGAATCATCCCACCGCCAGTGAAGCTCCTAAGACTCTTGCCATGCTTCAGTGTTTCTCTTGCTATTAGTAGTTCCTATGTCTCCCTCTCAATCTAGTATAAAGAGAGGAAAACCCAACGATCCGTTTTGTTTTATTTTTTTGTATCAGTCTCAGGTGAGATACTATTCACACACCATACAATTCACACGCTGAAAGTGCATAGTTCAATAGTTTTAGTATATTCACAAGGCTGTGCAAACAACACCACTATCTAAATTTATAACATTTTCATTTCAACAGGAAAACGCCCCCCACCCATCAGCAGTCCCTTCCCATTTCCCCCCCACCCCTAGGCCCTCATGCCCAGTGATCTACTCTCTGTCTCTACAGATTTGCCTCTTCTGGACATTTCATAGAAATGGGATCACACACATGTGCCTTTGTGACTGGCTTCTTTTACTTAGTGTGATGTTTTCAAGGGTCATCCACGTTGTAGTGCCTATCAGTACTTCACTCCTTTTATGACTAGTAACATTCAGCTGTATGAAAAGACCACATTTTATTTACCGTAACCATTTGTCAGCCGATGGACACAATGCTGTTACCACTTTGTGGCTATTATGAATAATTCTGCTATGAACATCCGTGTACGGGTTTTTGGGAGAACCTGTTTTCATTTATCTCCATCTATATCTAGGTGTGGAATTGCTGGGTCATATGAGGTCTCATTCTTTAACCTGCTGAGGAACTGCCAGGCTGGGTCCCAAAGCCGCCGCACCATTTTCCATCCCACCACCACCACCAGCGTGTGAGGGTTCTGCCTGCCCCACATCCATGTCAACTCTTGCTACTGTCTGCCTTTTGTATTATAACCTTCCTAATGGTGTAAAGTGATATCTCATTGTGGCTTTAATTTGCATTTCTGATAGCTAATGCTAAACAGCTTTCACATGCTTATTGGCTATTTACGTAACTTCTTGGCAGATATGTCTCCTCAAGATCCTTTGGCTACTTTTCAATTAGATCAGTTGTCTTTTTATTATTGAGTTGCAAGAGCTGACCCCTGTGCTTTTAAAAGCTTTGGTCAAAAGCAAGGTCTGGGTACATGTCAGGTTCACCACATGCAAAAGCCCATCCCAGTCAATTCATACATGATTTAGTATTTCTGAGACCAGCGAAGCAGCCGATGCTTCTGGCTATAAGACTAAACGTCTATCCTCTGAGTCTTCCAGTACTGCTCCAATAACTGCATAACTGTGATGAAACAACAATGCTACACCTTTCTCTAAGGACAACCAGTAGAGCATACTGCTTACCAACACACACTCAAAGTCAGAGTGCCTAGATTCAAGTCCTAGCTCCATTTCCTGGCAGTCTAACCTTGAGCTCACCACTTAACCTCTCTAAACTTCCTCTTCCTCACCTGTAAAATGTGAATAGCCGTAGTAGTCATCTTGTAGTGCTGCTGTAGGATTAAAGGTAATGAAATATGGAAGGTGTGTGACTAGCACATAGAAAACATTTAAGAAATGCTAATGATTCTCACTAGTCTTAAAGGGGAATGCACGTGTGTGTGTGTGTGTGTGTGTGTGTGTGGCGGTGTGTGTGTGTGTGTGGGTGGGGGGGGGGGGGGGGGGGGATGGGGGGCGGAGGACAGAGAGCTCCTACATCTGCCTTCTGATGCCTGAACCACCCAGTAGAGATGGGCTCGTAGTGTTAGCCAAGAAGCTCTCTGCAGAAATAAATGGTTACCTTGATTTTCCCTGGCTGTGTCTCTTCAATAACCACGTTACTTGTGGGCCAAGTCAACACTCCAGGAAGACGACAAATCAAGTTTCTTGCTTTCTCGAAGTGATTAAGAGCTTCTAGAAATCTAGCCATAATTATGAAGAAATAAGGTATTAAAGATGTGACATGAATTTTTATTCCCCACAACAAAAGTCAGAGATTTCAAGCTTACTAGTAAGAGTACATTTGATGAATCACTGCCTAGAAACATTCAATGTAACCTATATATATTTTTAAAAACCAAGGCATTATTGTTGTTTGCTTATTAAAAGTTAATATGTATTAAACACAGACCTGACTGGACACTGGCTTTATTACAGTAGGTGCACACTAGTCCTTCTAAAGCTGTAATTTATTTTTTAAAGTTTCCAACAATTAAAACAGAAAACTGAACAATTTGTTTGTTCCATTTTTATTTGCTTCATTTACCAAGCTAATTAGATTCTTTAAACTTGATTCTATTAGGACCTATAGTAAAAACTGCCCTGCAGAAAAAATTTTAGAGATCGTGTATTCTGGATGTCTTTCTCCAACCATAAAGCTGTGAATTATTTTAACAGAACAAATAGGTATATAAATTTTTTAACTATAAATATGAAATGTTTTAATCTAATTTATGATTTAAAAAAATAATGTCAATACATTCCCACAGTCCATTCAACAAAAGAATACTAAAATACTGAATTATAAAGCTAACCAAGCCCTTATTCTTTTCTTCAGGCTACAGAAAAGAGAGTTTTCCTGCTTTCTCCAATCTTGAAATGACTTCCTATTTTAAGAACTTATTTTTGCCTGTGGTGCTATAGCACCATCCACTAGATAGTTACAAACAGCAGGACTTTAAAGCAGAAACTGCACATTACAATGGCAAAAAACAGCACATTAGACATTGAACGTGGTACTATATTATTTTGAAATTAAAATTTAAATGCCTTTCAACACGGCAAAGACTTTTCATTTACCACAATCCCAATGATTTTATACATTTATGTTCTTTTTCTAGACCTTGTGAATATCTGCATGTGACCGCTGCATTAAACAGGTATGCCCTAGACAATTTATGCTAAACTCTGAAGTTAATTTCATTTGCTATTGCTATACAGATGATTGTTAAATCTTTACTTCTCCTGTGTCTACCTAATTCTTAATATAGGTTAGCCTGGCCAGGCAGTAACTTCAGGAAGTGAAAGACCTTTCTCTGATCTTTAGAAATCTATAAAGGAGGTTCTAGGCACACTTTAAAATTGGGGTCCCAAGAGTACCAATGGTCTGATCAAATTTCCCCTAAAAAGTTAGATGAAAACTTAGAGATGATTAAGTTATAAATGATATCATCGCTCAACAATTATTTCTTTATAAAGTAATCTACCATACCTACCATCACATTGGGTACAAGTGGCAGGAATAGGGAGATTTTTTTCTTTTTTTTTAAATTCAAGGCATAATCCTATCCCCTAAGGTTCATACAGCAATTTGGGGAGATAAGACATGAAACACTTAGGGAACAGTTACGTATAAACTTTGAGTAAGGGGTGCAACTGTAATATAAATTCAGAAAAGAGATTTTTATTCCTAACTCATGATGTCTTTGAACATATATGTACCTCGTATTAAAACCATCTTCATACAGGTTTTTTGGGGGAAGTAGGGGTTTAACCAAAAAATTATACACTCAGACTTGTAAAGCATTAATTCATATCACTCCAGTCACCACTTATAAACAACATATACCAAAAGATAAAATATAAAATCCTTTGTGTCAAATTATTACTGAATTTCTTATTAGATTCAAAATAGGGAAGCATTAGGAACTGAACTGATTGCCCTTAGTTTGATATTGACATTGAATGCCAGTCTCAAAGCAAACACAATTACAACAGTGCGCCACAGAGAAGATATCAAAATAATTCCAGAAAATGGGTCATCCTCACACTCGACTTTGAATGAGTTACCAGTCTAGAGTGTAAAGTAGTACGGTTTCTACTAACCTATTTTTTTTCAAGTATACTTTTCCAATTCCACAGTAGGCCAAGCAATCAAGTCCCTCATTGGGGTAGTGTTCAATCATCCTCTTAAACTGGTTTTCAGCTTCAGATAATTCCTTCAATAAGAACAATGATCACTTACACACAAAAAAATGCTGGAAGAGATTTTACCTGAAGGTTGAGTCTTTTTGTGTAGCATTAAAAACAACTATCTGTCCAAAATTTCTATGACAAGATTACACCTTCTGCAGTTCCATTTTCTTAGCAATTGCATAAATGTTTACCATATGGATACTCACAACCAGTGATCCAGCTCCAGAATGAAAAGTTGGCACAGAGCACATCAACCAACCGAATGAGCATTTACTAACACACACAGGGTCCCGGGGTGTAGGCTAATGGTGCGCCGTGTGATTTCACGGTGACAAGACTGATTTGCATGCAAACACACCATAACAGTACCCAGGTGAGCACTGCTCCCTTGGGGGCACAGGCATGCTAGTGGTGTTACCATGCTTTGTGGCATCTGACAAATGCTCTATCTTTAAAGTACCTCCGTAGTAACAGCTTTATAGAGCTCAGAGGACATTCTTCTGAATCTTCTCAACTGTGGAAACTGTGCTTTCAACGAATTTTGTTTTGGAAAAAATACTAAATACATTTGGCTCTATACAACACTGGTAACCCCATTGTGGGTGAAAAAGGAGAAGTCACTACAAAATGGAGTTTATAAGAAGCTTTGAGGCCAGTTCCAAAGGAAGCAATCCAAAAATGTCCCAAGCAAGGGCTGTACTAGAGTAAATACATCACTTCTTTCTGGGGCTGCTCTGAATGATCAAGTTCTCTTAAAGGTCCAAGTTCTATCATACATGTGTGTTTGTTTTTTTCATCAGTCTCACTACTTCAGAGTAAATCACAAATGAAATAAACTCTCTCTTCAATTCCAATAAAGCAAAACATGAGATATTTATTATTACTCTGCCAAGAATCAAAGAATTGAGAGCATGAAGTCCTGTCTATCAATCTATTAGAAAACAGACAGGCCTTAATGGAAGGCATTCATCTGTCGCATCAGGAACAGGAAAGAAGCAAGTCATAAGGAAGATGAACCGCAGGCACTGTGGACCACTAGGAGTGAACATAAAAGATGACTTGATCCTTACTGGGTAGCAATTAGGGTTAAGCCTTCATCTAGCCAAGAAAGCTTGGAGCCCAAGTTGGCAGAAAGAACGTATCACACCTGAGGTAATTCTAGAGCTATTCCAACCTTTAATGAAAACTCAGAACCATGGAAAGCAAAGTATAACTATGTGGTTATTAGAAACCAGCACTCTAGAAAATAACAACATACCCAAGTACTCAGCACCCAGAGCTAAGAGATATTTACGTATCATTTTTGCTTTAGTTTTTTTTTTTTAATATAACAAAGTTGAACTCCCTTTCTTAACCTCCACACGCACATTCCTTTCTTCCATCACTAACTGCAACCATTATCTTAAATTTGATATAGGGCTAGTCCATGTTTTTTCACTTTTACAAGCACAGATAGCCATAAACAATACATACTATTGGACAATTTGTTTCCCAAATGGTACAGAAGTGGTGTCACAATGTTTATTACATTCTCATCATGTTTCTGAAATCTATCATGATACATTAGGACCTTTACTTTTTATACAAATAAAAAATAGGTTCCCACTCGTTGCCGGACATATATTTTTTCTAACGGGAACACAAACTAAACTTTCTTTTCAAAAAGACAATGTAAACTAAATTAAATTAAGGTATTTCAGAAAATATCATCAAGAAAGTATGCAGAAGGAAATAAATCAAAATGGGAAAACTATTTTATCTACTGGGTTGTCGGAAAAGTCATGACGCATTTTTGCAACGAAAAACATAGAAAAAATACGTCATGACTTTTCCGACAACCCAATATCTTCTAAAATCAACACCATAATTTAATTGTTAATTACTTCTGCTACCAGTCTTACCTCAGGTTGTCCTATTCCGAGGAGTGAGATGGCCAGGCCATAGACGACTAAGACATAGTTAATCATGGCGAGGTTCAATTGCTGTCAACAGAAATGTTCCAGTTAAAAACCTGAACATGATTCTGCCCAACTAGCACCACACCAACCTGTCAGCTGCAGCAGAAAAGAGAACAAAGTCTCACTGATTGCTCTGACTGGGTGTAGGCCACACAGAATTAGAAAATGTGTTTTACGAACATGCATTGCTAGCAAGTATTTACATCACAGATTCAATGTCTCAGAGTTCCTGGAAGGCAAGGTTCTTAACAGACTAGAATTAACTGCAGTCATTTTCTTTTGCATATAAATGGGTGCCAGAGACAGATTTAAGACATCGGCTCTCAGGGGAAGCTCAGTTGGTTAGAGTTCAGTGCTCATAACACCAAGGTTGTTAGTTCAATCCCCACATGGGCCACTGAGCTGCACCCTCCACAACTAGACTGAAAACAACTACTTGACTTGGAGCTGATGGGTCCTGGAGAAGCACACTGTTCCCCAATTAAAAAACAAAACAAAACAAAAGACACTGGCTCTCTTATAACCTTGCCCAAACTATTTCTTCACCTAGCTAATACTTCCTTTCCAGATAAAAAGATGTGACTAAAGTGAGTCCAAGTCCTTGATTTAGTACTTTCAGGAGAGAAAAAGCCAGGAATTTAATGAACACCAACCAGAAAGCAAGGAAAGTCTCAACCTGGGCCATGTGCTGAGTGCAACCCTGAGGCCAAATGGGAGCGCCCTCTTCTCACCACCTGGAAGACTGAGCCCACCTTGGCAGGTCTAAGGGACGCTAGTACAATGGCGTGTGAGCTCGGCTCTCGTCTGCACCCTGTGGAGCACAGCTGCACAGCAAACAGTGAGGAGGCGGCCATCTCACCTGGATTTTTTGAGGATCCAACCCGTTGAGCAGCTCCGTGAAGGCCTGGGCAGCACTGCGGCAACGCTGCTCCAACAGCGACATGTAACCATCCTGGATTAGGCTCCGCAGCATTTTCATTATATTTGCAAAGTCCTGCAGAACAAAGCCTCCAGTTAACTCTTCGGGAAGCAAGCAACTCTGCACTGTCGATCATTAGGCAAATCTCTGGTTCACTTAATGAAAAAGTGAGTATCTACATTCCTGATAGTTTGGTTTCTTAGCAATCATAAATTATACGTCCATAACTAAAACAATAAAAAAAGAAATCCTAGAGCTGTACATGATTGGACTCAATTCACGTGAAAAATATTGTGTTCAGGGTTTGCCTTTCCCTTTACCTGGTGTGCAGCTCTGGAAGATTTAGAAAACTGCTTCTCCAAGATGTTTTTCAAATCTGCTGGTAAACTCCCTTGTGAACTAGAACTAAAAGAGAAAAGTGCTGCTTTGAATTATACTGTCCTGCTCATATAAAGAAAAACTACATATTTGCTGAAGGTCATTTTACACACAGAGTAAATGGAGAGTCACAAGTTCCTGAAAAGAAATATTTCCATGATGCCGATTCTCCCCAAATTAATCTCTAAATCCAATTAAATCTCAATAAAAATCGCTACAAAATTAGAGGTGGAGGGGGACCAGATAAATTGATTATAAAGATGACATGGAAAAACAGTGTTTACAAAAAAATAAAAAATTGGGGGGGAGGGTGCCCAGCTGAGAGGCTTGTTGGTTAAGAGTTGGCTTGGGAGTGCGACCTCTCAGCAGCAGGGCCGCTGGTTCGGATCCCACATGAGGGCCAATGACGTTGCACCCTCTACAGCTAAGATGGTGAACAATAGCTCAACCTGGAGCTGGGCTGCCGTTGAGTGGCTGGTGATGGCGTAGGCTGCAGTGGGATACTGTAAGCTACTGTGAGCCACCATGAGTGGCCATCCAATGGCCAGCGACTGATCTGCCTCAGCCGGGAAGAGCACAATAATACCAACATGGGCCAGTGAAGCGATGTCCTCCACAACTAGACTGAAGAACGAAAGGACAGCAACTTGTCTGTTCCCCTTCCCTGATTCCCCAACACTGTTCCCTCCCCAAAATCCCCAATAAAATCTTTAAAAAAATAAATTAATTAATTAGGGGGCATTTGCACGGATCAGAAGTTCTTACAAATTTAGTCAATCAAAAACATAGTCCTGAAATAAGAAATGTGCCCAATGAGCACTGCGAAGGTGCCCCATCTCCTAGGAAAATCTAGTAAGAGGATATAACCGTTTCAGAAAGTCTGACTCCCAATGCTGGTGAAGGTAAGCAAGGTCAGGTACTCTAGGTGGTGTTTTCTGATGCCAAATGTGTAGGGTTTCTGACACCAAATATCTGTCATTTTTGCACACCAATTCTCCAACACCAACCGAGTATCTAATAATTCAATGCCATTTTGACACCAACTCTAGAGTCAGGGCAGGCCCCACAGGTGAAAGAATCAGTCCCACATGACTCCCTCACATCAGAGCAGCCACAGCAAGGTATCCAGGCTGACTACAAATTCAGGGGTTCCCATGACCCCCCTGAGGTTCAACAACTCCCTAGAATGACTCACAGAACTCATGAAAGCATTTTACCTATTATTATTGGTGTATTATAAAGGATAGAACTCAGGAAAATCCCAGTGGAAGAGTTCCGTGGGCATGTATGGGGGAGTGGGGTGACACACAGCTTTCATGCCCGCCCAGAGTGGGCCACCTTCCCAGCCTCTCAATGTGCTCACCCACCTGGAGCCCCTATGTCTAGAGGGTTCTATCGAGGTTTCATTACAGAGGCATGAAGAATTAAATCACTGAACAGTGGAAAATGAACTCACTTTGTAGCCCCCTTCCCGACTCTTCAGAGATCAGGGGATGGGGCTGAGAGATCCAACCCTGCACTCACATACTTGCTTTTTCTGGTGACCAGCCCCAATCTTGACGGTAGAGTCACTTCATTAGGATAAACTGAGATAAGGCGGAAAGGGGCTCATGAGTCACAAGACACTCTTATCACTCATCACTCAGGAAATTCCAAGAGTTTTAGAAACTCTGTGCCAGGAACTGGGGTCAAAGACCTATCAACAGATCTATCTATCTATCTTATTATCCTGCATCCTCTCAAAGCTTAGTAAGAGTGTAAACAATGCTCATTTTCTGGAAGGGCAATTTGGCAGTATCTATCAAAGTTAAAATTACATATTCCCTCTGACAGAGCAATTCCACTCTAGAAATTTCTTCAAATATACATTTAGCTCTCCATGGTCTGACACAGGAAGACACACAAGGTATTTCTAAAGAGCTAAAAGCAAGTTGTAGGCCAGGATGGTTCTAACAACAATGAAAATGACAGTGATACCAATAATGATAGTTCAAGGGTATTGAGCATATACCATATGCCAGAGTGCTAAGTATTTTCAGTGGTTGTCCCATTTAATTGTTACATAACTTCATAAGGTAGACATAATCAAATAAGATTTCCATTTGAAAACAGAAATGAAATGTCAGGAAAATAAATTTATCTTGAACAAAACAGGTTAAAATAATAACTATGCATTCAAAGAAAAATCGCATATTTGGTTTTGGCTACTTTTGAGGGGGAGGTGCAAGGAGGAAGTCTCAGGATTTTCCTACCAAATAACAGAACAACATAATATTCTGTGCCGTTGCTTTGTATTTAATTTTTAAAAATAGTCATTTTTTTTCCAATGGGGCTTTGCTTATTTCTCTTAGTGCTCTGATATTCAAATCACTCTCCTTGAAGCTCCAACCAAAACATTAGCCTTAGGAAATGAAGAAGAGGTAACTGACAATTGGCATAACTGGCAGAAAAGGCTCTGAAGTCTCTCCAGCATCACTTTCATTAGCTTCAAAACTTGTGCATCTGTTGTAAGATTTCCAAGTTCACTTTACAGTCAATCTCTATCTTTGTAGGTTAACTCTATAGGCAGGAGGCAAGAGTTCCTACTGTTAATTTTGGCGGCAATGCTTGGTGGAACTAATTTTGTAAGTGGTCAGTTCCTTAGTAAAAACTTCCCTCTAATGACAATTACTCCACAGGGCCTCTGATTACACACATACGCACGCCTGTGTACACAGAGCAAGCTGCCAGTCGGCCAGGAAATTGATAACAGTGAGTTCGTAAAGGAAGCCACGAGAGAAGGGCTGTGGCAGAGGTGAAATAAGGTGAGTGCAGAAGGAGAGTAATTTTCACTTCATGCTTCTCTCAGTATTTTTCCTCTTACGAGCATGTATTTTGGAATTAAAAAACTAATACTAATATATATCATATTATATGACTTTCAGAAATCAGTGTTGACATCCAGAATTCATAATCCTCTATCCAAAAATGATCCTCTCCTAAAGACATGCCTTTGATATTTCAAAAGGATTTTAGATCCACCATAATACACATATGTAAAGGTAGCTACTACTTGAGATTTTTTCCCCCTTTTTCTTTTTTCTAGGGAAGAGGACATGAGGGGGGGGGGGGAAACCAAAAAACCTTAGATAAAAAACCTACCTGAACTTCTCCAATTCATTGTTTCGGGATTTTTGTTTTCCTTTATGTTTTGGAGGCTGACCTGTGAATACAAAAGTATTTGTTCCTGAAATCTGTACAAAAAATGTCTACAGGCTTGAAAATTTAATAATAAGAAATATATAAATTGTATAAGAACGCAAAGGAAGCAATATTGCATGTGAATGTAACTACAAACAGGTAAGCCAAAAAGCTACTGAATATGTTTTTCTATGTATGCTACAAAATTATTATAAATATAAATTATAATGACTATTATTATTTAGGCCTGTAGCATATAGAGAGAGATAGGGGCCACAGTTCCTATTCTCAGGCAGTTTATAATCAGACGGGCAGAAAGGAGGGTCACCGCAGTAAATGACAATCACCATTAAGAAGGAAAGAAGATCCCAGAGGAGAAAAAGCTAAAGGAGTTCATCACCACCAAACCAGTGTCACACGAAAGGTTAAAGGGTCTTCTTTGAGAAGAAGGAAAGAAAAAAGATAAAAACTATAAATACTGAAATGGCAATTACTACATACCTATCAATAATTACTTTAAATGTAAATGAATTAAATGCTCCAATCAAAACACATAGGAGGGCTGAATGGGTAAGAAAACAAAACCCTTATATATGCTGCCTACAAGACATATACTTCAGATCAAAAGACACACACAGGCTGCAAGTAAAGGAATGGGAAAAAATATTTCATGCAAATGGAAACAAGAAAAATAAAAGCTGGGGTAGTAATACTTACATCAGACGAAATAGACTATAATAAGAGACAAAGAAGGACCTGGCAATTCCACTTCTTAGTATTTATCCAAATAAATCCAAAACACTAATTAAAAAAGACATATGCATCTCTATGTCCATTGCAGCATTATTTACAACAGCCAAGAATAGCAACCTAAGTGTCCATTGAACAGATGAATGAATAAAGAAGATGTGGTACGGTCGATAATGAAATATTACTCAGCCATAAAAAAGGATGAAATCTTGCCATTTGTGACAACATGGATGGACCCAGAGGGTATTATGCTAAGTGAAATAAGTCCGACAGAGAAAGACAAATCATATTAAGTATGATTTCACTTATATGTGAAATCTAAAAAAACAAAATAAACCAACAAACGAAACAAACTCATATAGAGACAGAGAACGTTTTGATGGTTGCCTGGTATGGGGGAGAATAGGTGAAAAAGGGGAGGGGATTAAGATGTACAAATTGCCAGTTATAAAAACAGTCACAGGGATGTAAAGTACAGCACAGAGAATGTAGTCAATAATGTAATAATGATATACGGTGTCAGATGGGTACTACACTTATCAGGGTGATCACTTCGTACGTTATATAAATGTCTAATCACTATGTTGTACACCTGAAACTAATATAACATGATGTCAACTGTAATTGAAAAACAAAACATTATTTTAAAAGAGAAGAAAAGAAGATACTGTGTTATTAGCAAATTAATTCCATAGTAACTGCTCTTATAACTCAGAGAAAGAAGAAATCACTTAAGCTAGAGTGGCTGGGAGAAGTGTTAGTGCGGACATAGTATTCGTGTTTAATTTTCAGAACAAGTAGGATTTGGAGAGAATGGGTCAAACCCAGGAGTGAAGTTCATTTGAAGCTTGTGTGACCTGGCAAGTTCGGTAAGGACACAAGGTTGGGAAGGGGTTGCAGAGGCAGGTCGGGGGGAGGGGTCCCAGGCCCGTAGCTTCTGCTTCTCCAGCTCATGAGCTCAGCCTCTACCCCACTGGCAAGTGTGGTGAGCCACTGCATACTTCTGGGCAGGCAGTGACATGTGCCAAGTTGGTAGAAGGGAGCACAGCAATACGGACGGTGTATCTGATGGAAGCTTTGGGGAGAGATGGTGGCAGAGGCAAGTTAGAGCCGATGTATGAAGAGGGGATAAGAGCCTGGGCTGGTTTTGGTGACCTCACAAAACAAGTGGCTTCGACAACAGAAAGGTAGAATAGTTCTAGTTTGATTTCTTCTGTGTGACCTAAGGCAAACTACTGAACCCTAACCCGCAACAATGTTTTTCAACTGAATAAAGATGCTGAAGTGTAGACAGTATTTAAATTATTTATTTAAATGTACTGTCTGATAATAATGGCCTAAGAAATACCAATAAATTAAAAAGCTATTTTCCATAAAAAAACAAACAAGTTTTATCCCCAAAGATTTTTCACATGCTATTAGAGTTACATCAAGTAAGCCCATCACCTGAGTTTCCCCTCTTTGTAATTCTGCTAATGTGCTAAACAAATGGAAACGCCCAATAGTAAGTTCTTGGATATGTGGCACTGGAGCCTAAGAGAAGAGAGACTTGCTGGAAGCAAAACACAGAAAAGGCTGCCAGAAACACAAACACTGAAAAGAAAATAAAAGAACCAATACACGAGAGAAAGGAAAAGTGGGCAACAGGATCGCTAACCAGAAGGCCAAGAATCTCCGTGTAATAACCCTGGAAGAAACGCATGAAAGCTTGACATAAATAACTCGTGCGTAACAACCTTATATCAAGAGTATCTGTATTTTCTGAAACTCTGTTTTAAAAGGCAGGGATGCACTTTAGAGTGGTTTCCATCTCTGGCAGTATACAGAGAGACAGAAATAAATGAAGTGCAAAAATTCGCTTCTTTTCCCAATGATGTCAAGTCACTGAGGTCCTGCTGTCTCCATGTTTACTACATGTGTGAATAAACATGTGCACTCAGCACATACAATTTAAAATAAACTAGTATCAGCCTAAAGCATCCATTTTCAACGTGGGTGACATCACCCCCAACAGGGTGAGAACTGGTTATTGAGAGGTGAAAAAAAATCAACCTCTTTTTTACATATAAAGCAAAGATATACATACAGCACATAAACACATGGGATGAGGGTAATTAGGAAAAAAAGTCTAAAAAGTCTCCTTGTCTGGGGGGGAGATAATGAAATAAAATTTGAAAAAGCACTGGCCTAATGGAAATTAGGTAGCAGACCAAGAAGAGCTTCATATTCCCTTTGCATTACGTTTATCTGGAATTCCAACACTAAATTTATCAACACTATGAAAAGACTGAGCATGGATCTCCAATAAATATTCAATGCTATCTTAACACTGACGCATTATAAAGTAAAAGGAGAACAACAGGTAATATAAATGAGGTTTGTGCCAATTTTCACGCATAGAAGTTTAAGCAACACTACGTTATTAACTCAGCAACAATTTACATAAGGAAAACACTCACCTGATGGTGGTAGAAATTCAGGATGACAGTCACAATCGTCTACCTTCAAAGCTTCATCTACCACCTACCCAGGAAAATACAATTAGTGACGGTCTCAAAAAAAAAAAAATAAATAAATAAATAAAAATATATATATATATAGCCATGAAGAATTCAATAGCTAAATAATAAAATAGAATAGGATACAAGTTATCCAAGCACCTAAAATACCTAGGCGGTTAAGCCTAAATGAATAAACAAACAAAATGATAAGAGATTATGATACGACAGATTCTCAAATGCCAGTTCCATTTCTGACACCTAGCATGATGCCCAACAGGGCAGTTGCTCAGTGTCTGTATAAATTGATACCATCACATCTTTCCTTACGCTCCTCCTCTCCCTAACTGAATTCAGCCTCTGAGATTCTCACTATTAACAACAAAGAACTAGACAGTAGGCTGGAAAAGTTCCCTCCCTAGCCTACTACCCATCTAAACACCATTTTCCTTGTTTCCCTCAAACACTGGGGGACTTGGTGGTACTTGCTGAGTTCTGAGTCCACTAAAGTTCAGGGACAATCTCCAATACAGATTATCTGGGAGTCTGATCACAGTGCAAGGACAGAAGCCTGGAGGTGCGCTATGAAACCATCAGACCGAGGTACAGCTGAGCACAGCAATGAATCAAGGGCTGGGGACCACTGCTAAGAGCAACAGAGATTGCGGAAACACCTGGGACAGGGATGTGGATGGGTGTCTCCCAGGCCCAGCACAGCACAAATTGGGTGGGTCGGCTGGGACAGTGCCTGGCAGTCAAGTAGATTGCAAAAAAAGAAAAGGGAGGGAAAAAAAATCCAAAGCATTGTAAGGGGTGGGGTGACTAGGCTGCCAGACCCCACTGTCACTCATTCTCAGGTGACTGACTGAGGGACATGTAAAGGGAAGGCATACAAAGAGAACTATCTCAGGGTAAAATGAAATTTAGAAAAAAATATTTTGAAAACACACATAAGGGATTTCAAAAGAAATTCTGTGATGAAATGCTATCTTTACATAGTTGTAAGACATCACCGAATTATTAAAAAGACAGAATCATTCTCTTGATAGTGACAGGGACAAAAAGGTTCATATCGCCAAGATACTAGTTTCTGTTATCACCAAAATATGAGACGATACTTGAAATAATTTTAATAATTTCAGTTTTTAACTGAGCTTACCTTTAGATTATGATTACCACCGTTTGCCATTTCGTGATTAGTTTTTCTGCAATCTTTTTCGGTCTCCACAAAGTTAAGTGAAGTTCTAAATGCAGGTGCTGATAGACTAGGTTTGGAGGCCCTGAGAGGAGATAAAAGGAATAATCATTTTATTTCTAGTGATTAGTATGTTTTTTAAAAATGTAACCTTCAAAGAAACAGGTGTTAGCAATAATAGCCTTTTTCCTTGAAAGCAAGATTGCTTTTAAAAGGATCTCTACCTCTGAGACTGACTGAGCTTTACACAAAAATATTATTTTAAATTTGGTGTTTAAAACTCACACTAGATTAAGAACAGTTCAAGAAATGTATTCTGGTTTCTAATATTAAAACATGTAAGTCTCTGTTTAAATTTAACAGCTTCAATATCTTAGGTAGCTACAGCATGTGGGGGAAAAGCTTACTCTCTACTTTCATTGCCAAGTAACACATGCAGACCCCTGGCTGCTTTACTGTACGTATGCTCAAGTCTATCTGTTGCCTGTTTCTAACAGGAAGCGTCTAAGCCTTTGAAAAGACATCAGGTCAGCGGCAGATGTTTCCAGGACAGAGGTGAGGGGGAAAAGGCACAGGCCGTGCTCCTGCTCTCTGCTGCCAGGACCCTGATGGCCCAAACTGGTCCCATTCACACACAGTAACATCGCCATTAACATTTCCCCCCTCTTTTCCCACAGTCTTAGGCTAAGGATCTCCAATATCTTCTCCAATATCTACATATGCAAATGGCTCAGGAAAATAATCAGCTAAACAAATCCTGCAATCCACAGGTCACCTGATCTCACCCAGGGACACTTTAAAAACCACCTATCTCCTCCCTTCTCCAACTTTATTGTGGTTCCTATTAGCTACTAAGGCATCAAACACAGAGATTCTTAAAGTCACAGGGCAAAGCCATGCTAAGGAGCAGCTACTGATTGGACTGATGGGAACTCACCTGCTTTTGTAAAAGGCTCTGATTGGATGCCTAGTTGGGGTTCGGCCTATAAAAATTAATCACACACACACAGTAATCAGTGCATTGGCAGCACATAGTTTAAAAGATTTTCAAATTTCCTTTAAGCTGACAGTGAGAACATCAAATTCAGAGAACTGAAAAATAAACCTAAAGCAATTTTGTATTTCTAGGTATTTTTAGTTTTATGACCACGTCAACACAACGTTACACAGACCTTATGTGACATCCCATTAGATGTGGTCACTGACTAAATGCAGCATATATAAATGTGACTCAGGGATGGTACCTGTCTTCAAGGAGCTCACAATCTTACAATCATATTATGTTGGATGACAACATTTGCTAGTGAAATAGAACCGCTCAGCTCAGCTTCCTATGACACTAAATACCCCCCAAAAAAACTAAACAGGAAACACCTACACACTGAAAGCATAGAGTAGGGGAATTTCAGGCATTGGACAAAGCAAAATGACTTAAAGAAAACAAGGCAGAATGAAAATCTAGAATTCCTAGCCTGTATAGCTAATTTCTGATATATATAATATATGTGTATATTATATACATATTAATTAGCTATAAACTTGGTGCAAAAACATTAAACAACTCTAAGGGGAAATTTTTAAAACAATTTTGTTTCAAAAAGGATTTACTTTATTCAAAATTTCAAGAAGGCATATTTTTCTACAAAAGAATAAATAATTTGTTGCTGAATGTTTCAAATAAAAATACAGATCGTTTATGATTACCTAATGGACTGTAACACTAAAGTAATTCTATACAGATAGAAATGGAAAAAAGTGATTTGATCAAGATAACAAAGTAAGTACAAATCATCTGAGAATTGATTTATGGTCCTTCATTAATCCAAGAAATCCATCTTCAAAAGTTGTAAAGGGAATTTGACTATAATCAAAAAGAATCTTAGGTGAAATACCTTGCAGGTCTTCTATTTGTTTTTGTAACTTTACATGCTGCTGAATTAGATCCTTGATTCCCTCAGGGTCATTTCTACAGAGTTTTTGAGCTTTAATGTTTGCTTGCAGGGCCCAGTCATATTCCCCCAGCATAGAAAGAGCAGCACAATAACGATAATGACCCTGTTCCAAAAAGATAAATTTAATTTTTCTCAAAAATATGCTTAAGTTAAAGAAAATAGATAAGGAAAGATATTTTGCTTGAAATTTGATTAGTTACTTAAAATGTTAGATTAAACCCTATGAATGAAAATTAAAAATATTAATCCCTCATAAAATAAAATTACCTAAATGAGCTAAGTGCAAAGTTATGAATAGTATTCATAATAATTTTTAACACCTGACTAGAGATCAGTATTTTTTGCTTAAGAGATTTTTGTACCCCCAAGAAAAAATTCAAACTTTATTAAATTTTACTCGTAAAGAATGAAATAAAATTTTTATGCCAAATAAAGTATAAAAATCAGTCATTATAAATAATTTATTTTTTCCACAATACTTTAAGACAGCAACAATAGTCTCTAAGCCATTGCATTCCCGACACTTTGGAAATCAAAAGAATTTTAGAGCTGGAAGGAACCGGCAGCTTGTATAGCAGTTTTCCAACCCCTCTGACAAGCATGGACACAGATAAGGGGTAAGTCTAGGCTGGACCTTCCATCCATCTCTCCCTTCATCAGCTTTTAATTATTTTATCTCTAAGTGTAGTTCTTGGCTTTATGAAAAGGTCCAAAAACCACTGATTTACTCTTCATTCCAGTGATGGGGTATTTTTGTTGTTCTGTTTTGTTTTTGCTACAGAACCAAAGTCCTCGCTGGCCCCACTGATGCATTCCGGAAATCTCCTATGTCAAGCACAAACACTTTCATCTAGAAAGCTAACATTACCAAACCTGGGCTCACTCACCAACCCAACTTCCACTGAGGCACAGTACCTCCACTTGAGACGTGACCTCCAAATGAAAGGCGAGAAGCTGGCCTGTCACCTTTCCTCAGAGGCAAACCAAAGAACCCTTTGTGACTTTATGACTTGGGTCCAGGGCTCCCTTCTCCTCACTACACACTTTACAAAGAACATTCTGATTCTATGAGAAAACAGGAAATCGGAAGTCGGGAAATTTAAAGTCCCCTTAAAGAAAGACGAGCCAGAAACAACCAGGAGGACCCCTGTCTATGCAGGTTCGGCGCTCTGCAGCCCGGCTCTGGTGCCCTAACCCAAGCTGAGCTCTGCAGCAGTTTTTAGCCAGATTCTTTAGGCTCAGATCAACGACACAATTCAGACTGTATTTGGTTAAAATCTGCTTTTTCTCAAAAGGCGTAAGAAGGCAAAGAGCTCAAGTCCAAGATCCTCTCCCCCAGCCATACGTCAACTTCAACATTTAGATAACTGCATAAAAAAATACAAAATAAAAAGAATCACAGCATAGGAAATTATATGATAGATTATAAGCCACGTCTGCTTAAATTTGTAAAAACACTTTATTTCTTTCTCTTTTCCCTCCAGGTTTCTCATCTTTTACTGGGTCCTTTCCCCTAAACTCTATAAAACCCAATATAATTTCTATTGGTTGAGAAAGGAGTTTATTCAGATCTCTTGGCTGAAGTTGTTTGAATGAAGCTTCAAAGTATTTCAGGGTTTCTTCAGCCCATCACAGCAGTAGGTTTTGCTCTTCTTTTACACTATCTCACTATCACCCACATAAAATCCCCTGTTGTTCACCTGCCCAGCACCCCCCCCTTTTGGGTGCCACCAAGTCCCTTCTCCACATCGTAATGGCAGGACCCTCAACACTAGCACCCCATCCCAATGATGGACGTTAGGGCAGAAGCATAGCTGTGGCCCAGGAGACTGGCCAGTCGAAATGCACCATTTCTCAGGTCATAGTGATTGACCCACAGGTGGGCATATGGCTCAATCAGAGTAAGTCTGAGGCATTCCTCAAGTATACTATATATAATAGACACTATAAAAGGTTCTCTCCACTAGAATTAACATTTATTAAGGATATTGTTTTGGGGCTCCCACTACATGGTAAATCTTTTTCAAAATGAAGCCAAGAGAGCCTACACTCTAATTACCACTTCTGGTCAAGATGCAGTAATAGGGATTAGATTTACCCTCTTGCCTAAAACAAACAAACAAACAAACAAACAAACAAACAAGGACAAAATACATGAAATAAAGGTTTGCAAGACACTAGGTTATCAGGCAACAGGTGATCCCTGGCAGATGAGAAACACACAAAGTAAGTCCTATGCCTGCTCCAGCTTAGCAAACGGAGAATTTCTAAGCCATGGCACAGGGAGAGGAACCCAGGCAGAGGCCTGAGTCTTAGTTAAGAAGACAGAGCAGGGAGTCCAGGAAAGCCAAGGCAGCTTGAGTTCACGGGACAGAGGACAGAGAGGGCGCTGCACAGAGAACCCTAGAGATCTTCAGAGGGTTCCCCTTAAGCCTTCACCTAAGTACTAGCCAGGACCTGCATGTGTGGCAACTACCCAAGCCAGAAAAAGACCACCTGAAAAGCTAAAAGGAAACAACAGCACTCACACAGGACCAGGAATAATTCCTGTTCCCACCGACCAGAGTGGAAAACATCATAATTCATGGAGTACTAGGTACAGTACACTACTCAGAAGAGTTTTGCCTTGGTTGTGGAGAAAAAGTTAGCCCTACACCAAATACTATGGTCCCATCTAACGAAGCTGAAAATAAGACTCCAAAGAATTAAACCGTTTCCAAGTAACTTCACTGCATCCCAAAACAAAGCTCAAAAATATTCACAGATGATTTTTAAAAAAATTATAGAAATACCAAAATATCAGGTAAAATTCACAATGTCTGGCATCCAATCAAAAATTACTAGGTGTGCAAAAAAGGAATATGTGATCTATCATGAAGAGAAAAATCAATCAACTGAAAACAACCCAGAAATGACACAGACAATAGAATTAGTTGACAAGGACATTAAAACAGTTATTATTAATATATTCCACATGTTCAAGAATTTAAAAGATTGAACATATTAAGTAAAGACATGAAATATCTAAGAAATACTCAAATTGAAATTCTAAAGATGAAAGCTATAGTATTTAAGATAAAAATATATTGGAAGAAAATCAAGACAGATTAGACATTACAGAAGAAAAGATCAGTGAACTTGAGGACACAGTAATAGAACGCAGGTAAAATGAAACACAGAAAAGACTGTAAAGTCAAGCTAACAAACAGGGAAGCACAACTGAGAAACATGAAGAAAAGTGTGTACACATTTAGCCTGAAGCTAATCCCTATAATTTTCAATTACATGAACCAATAAATTCCCTTTTCTACTTAAGCCAAATCTGAGTTAGCTTTTGTTACCTGCAAACAAGAGAGTCCAAAGATACCCCTAAAATTAAAAGGTTCTCGAGGACATTTGTAAGGCTATTGTTCTGTATCCTGTATAACAACATCAAAAGGTAATGCACTCAGAAATGTCAAGATATATCTGAGTGAGAGATAAAAACTCTCACTCTTTACAATACAATGACTCGCCCTCTCTGAAACCTGAAAGCATGTTTAGGACACCTGACATTGTGCCATCTCTCTATCAGGGAGAAAAAATGGCCCACCCTCACACAAAAATCTACAGAGTACCTTCCTCTGCAGGCTTATATCCTAGAGGCATGACTCAACCGACTCAGGCTCATAATAATTCTAAAATAAAAGGATTCCTATAAAAGTAAAGAATGCACCTTGCACAGTCTACTTTTGCTTTTGAGATTTAAACCATCTTTCAGTGAGCATTCCTTTCTGGTAAAATAAAATGAAAAATGACCTAGATACATAGTGACCACATTTTTTGAATACTTCTTGGAGTTGTGTTTTTCAACTACACAAATATTTTTGTAATCATCATAAAACATCCTAATTAAAAAAAAAAAAGAGTGAACCACATAAATCCAGTCAACTTATCTTTGATGTAGGAGCAAAGACAATTTGACAATGAAGCAAAGATAATCTTTTCAACAAATGATACCAGAACAAACGGACATCTACACGCAAAGCAATAATCTATAGACTTTACACCTTCCACAAAAATTAACTCAAAACGGATCACTGACCTAAACTATAAAACCCCTAGAAGATAACAAGGGAAACCTAGATGACTCTGGGTTTGGTGATGACTTTGTAGATACAACACCATAGGCATGAACCATGAAAGAAATAACTGATAAGCTGAACTTGATTAAAATTAAAAATTTCTGCTTTGTGAAAGGCAATGTCAAGAAAATGAGAAGAGAAAGCTATAACCCAGGAGAAAATATTTGGAAAAGAAACATCTGGTAAAGGACTGTTACCCAAACTATACAAAGAACTCTTAAAATTCAACGATAACAAACACCTGATTTAAAAATGGGCCAAAGACCTTAATAGAGACCTCATCAAAGAAGATATACAGATGGCAAGTGAAAAGATGCTCCACATCACATGTCACCAGGGAAATGCAAATTAAAACAACAAGGAGATACCACTACACGCCTATTAGAACAGTCAAAACTCTCAGGACACTGACACCACCAAACGCTGGTGGGAATTTGGAACAGGAGCTCTCATTCACTGTTGGTGGGAATGCAAAATGGTACATCCACTCTGGAACAGTTTAGCAGTTTCTTAAAAAACTAAACATAGTCTTATCATATGACCCAGAAATCACACTCATTGTTATTTATCCAAAGGAGCTGAAAACATCCACATAAAAACCTGAATGTAGATGTTTACAGCAGCTTTATTCATAGCTGCCAAAACCTGGAAGCAGCCAAGATATGAATGGGTAAATAATCGGTAATACATCCAGACAATGCAGTATTATTCAGCACTAAAAAGCACCAGTTATCAAGTCACTAAAGACATGGAGGACACTTAAATGCAGACAATGCAGTATTATTCAGCACTAAAAAGCACTAGTTATCAAGCCACTAAAAGACATGGAGGACACTTAAATGCATACTATTAAGTGAAAGGCGCCAGTCTGA